TGGGACGTTTCGCGGCGCGTCCTCCTGACATGCTCCCCTGTCCATCAGCTCTGGGGCAGCTACTATGTGTTCAGGCAGCTCGAGCTTAAGATCGAGATCAGTTCGGTCAGGACTCGGATGCAAAGGAGGACTCGATCCATGACGCTATAGAGCACATTCGCGGCATGGCACATCGCAATTCAGCACGGTGCAGCACAGCACAGCCCTCGGCAGGGTACATCGAGATCGATACATTCAGCATTGCATTTGCCCGTCACCCAATCAGGTGTCTTTGAAAACGCTGCCATGTGTTACAGTTCTATATTCCTTTCCGGGTTCGTGGGTCGATCATGTTCTTCCCTGCCCTCCCTCCTGCGCGCTGCGCGATGTCTTCCTTTCCCCACCTCCCCGCCCCCCCCTGCGAGTCCGAAGACCAGGACGGGCTCACGCGGGCCCAAAACGCACCCAAGTTTTATGAAACAAATTGTTGTTTGGTGCTGGTGTCGGCTTTATATCCCCCCAGTTACGAAGAAAATCAGCATCATGAAAAACTGGAGACCACAGCCCTAGACCCAACCTTTCAGCCGCATTTTTCCAGCCAGATCGATCTGTGAGGGTCTGGGTCGCCCGAAACTGAGCGCAAACGCCCAGCTCGAAGAAGTAATTGAGTCGACAGAATATCTCCAGGCCTCCCAGATGGGGTCGGATTAGACGGTGTCGGGGGATCGCTCGCATCGTCGGTGCATGTGTAGCCCGACTCTCTCGTCGACGGCCCCAATGTATCGCTGATGTCGCCGGTGCATCGGGAATGCATCGGCGATGCATCGGGATCTTCCGCCCCAGTCTACTCGGACTTCATCTGGGAGGCCCTAATCTCAGGGTCCCTCCTAGGCCCGTCGCCAATATGCGGGTGCCCCCGAACGCGGAGGCCGGTGGAAGTCCCCCGCCCTGCTGGGCCGGTGCGCGGGGCTGCCCGTTTTTCCCGGAAATGGCGCAGGCCCAGGGTTCTCTTTTAGCTGTTTACCCCCGGATCTGACGGGAAGAGGGCCAGCGGATTTCTTTTGTGATAAATAACGAGTGGGAAGAGGGCCGGCGAATTAACATTTGAGGATGTCGCGAGCGAAACGCTAGTTTTTCAGAATTTGTTGAGGATTTCTCGAGCGAAACGCTTGTTTTGTGTTATAGATTGTCCCCTCCTGGGGACCAGAATTTAGAGGATCTCTCAAGTGAAATGCTTGGTTTTACGTGCCCAGGTCTTGAGGATGTCTCGAGCGAGACGCTTGGTTTCACGCCTCCAGGTTGCCCAGGCAGAGGTCAAGCGCCAGGATTTGTTGAGGATGTCTCGAGCGAGACGCTTGGTTTCACGCGTCCTCGTCGCCCAGGCGGATGTCTAGAATGAGGAGGTGTTGAGGAAGTCTCGATCGAGATGCCTGTTTGCACGTGTCCAGGTTGCCCAGGCGGATGCCAAGCATGAGGATGTGTTGAGAATGTCTCGAGAGATACGCTTGTTTTCACGTGTCCAGGTCGCCCAGGCGGATGTCTAACGATGTAACATGAAGATGTGTAGAGGATGTCTCGAGCGAGACGCTTGCTTTTACGTGTACAGGTCGCCAAGTCGGATGTCTAGAATGAGGAGGTGTTGAAAGCGTCTCGAGCGAAACGCTTGTTTTCACGTGCCCAGGTCACCCAGGCGGACGTCTCACATGAAGATGTGTTGAGGATGTCTCGAGCGAACTACTTGTTTCCACGTGTCCAGTTCGCCCAGGCGGATGTCTAGCATGAGGATGTGTTGAGGATGTGTTGAGCGAAACGTTTGATTTCACGTGTCCAGGTCGCTCAGGCGGATGTCTAGAGTGAGGATTTTGACAGGATGTCTCGAGCGAAACGCTTGTCCCCAGCACGTTCCGTAGCGCGTCCCCTTGGCACGTCCCGCGGTGCGTCCCCATGGCACGTCCCCTGGCATGTCGCTTGGCGCGTCCCTTGAGACGTTCCGCGGCGCGTCCTCCTGGCATGTCCCCCTGTCAATTAGCTCTGCGGCAGATACTATGTGTTCAGGCAGCTCGAGCATAAGATCCAGATCAGTTCGGTCAGGACTCGGATGCAAAGGAGGACTCGATCCACGACGCTATAGAGCACAACCGCGGCATGGCACATCGCAATTCAGCACGGTGCAACACAGCACAGACTTCGGCACGGTACATCAAGATCGATACAATCAGCATTGCAACCTGGCACGTTCCTTGGCACGTTCCGTGGCGCGTCCCTTGGCGAGTCTCCCTGGCACGTCGCGTGGCGCGTCCCCTGGCACATCCCGTGGCACATCCATTGGCACGTTCCGTAGCGCGTCCCCTTGGCACGTCCTACGGTGCGACCCCATGACACGTCCCCTGGCACGTCGCCTGGCGCGTCCCTTGGGACGTTTCGCGGCGCGTCCTCCTGGCATGTCCCCCTGTCAATTAGCTCTGGGGCAGCTACTATGTGTTCAGGCAGCTCGAGCTGAAGATCCAGATCAGTTCGGTCA